TGCTCGCGAAAGTGTACAAACATTATGCTAGATTCTAGAACAATTTGGAAAGCTGCAAAATGCTTAAGGCCCAAACTTTAGAACTTGCCTGTCTAAATCTATCTAACGTCTTGTCTTCTGGATAGGTTGTGAGTGATGAACCACCGAAGATGGCATTAGCCTCAGCCCTGCGCAGCAATGAGTTAAGATTAGCCCCAGTGATAGACTGTTTAGCATCAGAAGACAAGAAACGCAGGTCACTGGGACTCTGACGCCCACTGGTCGGGGCACTAGGAGGTAGGGAAGCCAGTGTTGAGCGATAACCCCCAGCACAGTGAATTCCAAATGTTTCCGGAGAAGCGACTTGTCGACCAGGCACGGGAGAACCATAGACTGTAGCTCGAAAACGCAGGTCTGATGAGCGAGGCAAATGACCATCCAACAATAGAGATACGATATCAGATGTTGGAGTATTCTAATTTAGGATAGTAATTGAGAGAAAAATCAAATCCATATGACAGAATCATTTGACTTGGAAGACACAAAATATAATATATCATAAGTGTGGACTCAGAAAGATTATGTACATACTTCCCATACACATGAAAGGCGTACAAATAGTGATGGCTCGTCTCAGTATAATTATTTGTTATAATTATTAAAAGATGTTGACAACTTTCGTCTGCGGAAAACTACCTCCATTCAATTTCGAAAGATATAGAAAGCAGACGATTCAAATTTACAAAGGTTTGCATCATTAAGAGAACAAAAAAGTTTAATCTTCATAATGTCTTTCAGTATGTATCTTACGTTTTTCTATTCTTATTATATATATGACACTGATTAAATAATAAGCTCCATTGAAATGATTATTAAGGAAATAAATACTAAAAAGGCTATATTGAGCCCAAGAAGTATAAATTACGGAACTCACCCCATTGTTCTTCACAAGAAGTCCGAGATAGCTAAGAAGTAAGCCTGTGTCCTCGTTTGCTGCTGCTGCAGATGTTGTGTCGGCCAATCTGGCTAACACGTCAGCCTTAATGGTACTGCGGGGATCCATAGGCCCAGGATGCCCAGCCTCTTCACCTAGGCTGCGTCCCCAGGTCTGGCACAGGTTTTGTATAGCACTCAGCTCGGCTTCTATTGTTTCTAGACAGCTTGACTCACCAAGGTTTAACTCAGCAATCTCGGTGTCAATGGTGAATGCGGATTCGACTGCAAACTCTCCGCCAATTTCGACACTAGCGGCGACTGGGGCTAAGGCCTTGGGATGGTCATCAATAGTGACCTGTTTAGTTTGGTGACCATGCTGTGCCTCAAGCACCATTTCGAGTACAGTCATACGATCAGTAGCCTCAGCCACAACATGTCCAGCAAGTTCGCTAAGATCAATGAGCTCGATGCGCGCAGACCCAGCATCAGCCGGTCTTGTGGGCAGGATCTAATCGAGAATTTCATAATGAATAAAATGACATTAAACAATGTTGATAGGTTAGATAATTAATGATTTTTTTTCCAAGTGAAAAAACAGCTAATGATGACACCAGACTCATATGTATTTGACAATTGTAGTATAAGAATGATATCGATTTAAAAGGAGTAATTTCCACAACAAGATGTTTCTTAATCAAAAATATGAAGACCATGATAGTGTGGCCTTTTGTGTGGTCGCGGTCTCCTTTCGTGGTTGGCTTTGTTGGTCATATTGGTAGGAAGACTTAGAAAAACGCACCTAATCCGAAGTCTATAGTATGCATGATAATTTCCAGTCGGACCATGCACGTGGTACATTCCCAGTCATAGCACCAAGCTACAACTCGTCAAAGAGACAAAGCCGATGTACCAAATCAACGGTCCGATTGTAGAGGCCACGAACACTATTGCAAAGGACGCAGGACTAGGTACATTCCACAGGGTCTCTCTGTTGTCCGGAACAAGTTGCGACAACAAATTCTAAACGATACATAAAGTCATGTTGTAAATTTCATGCCCTGTTTAGAAGTTGTTTGACCTTGTCTTCGCAAA